TATACCTTTGGACGTGTTGACAACTTCACATACCTTGGGTCTCTATTGACTGCTACCAATAATACAAGCGAAGAAATCAAAAGACGAATAAATCGTACAAATAGGGCATACTATGGACTCCAAAAGCATTTCCACTCAAGAAACATTCAAAGAAGAACTAAAATTATTATATACAAAACATTGCTGAGGCCGGTCCCTCACATATGGAGCAGAAACATGGACTCTAACGCAGAAAGATGAAAGACTTTTGGGAATATTTGAGCGTAAAATACTCCGCAAAATATTTGGAGCTGTAAACGACCAAGGGTAGTGGCGCAGAAGATATAATTTTGAATTGTATCAGCTCTTTGATGAGCCAGATATGATAATAAGTCAGATAAAATTAAAGTATTAGAAGAATTTTTCACCAAGTAACAAAAAACAAAATTTGTTTAATGTATTAATGTTTGTATTCTGAAAACGATTTCCGAAGTGGAAATTGACACATCAATAAACTTATTTTAACCTTTTCATTTGTTGCTTATTCCCATTAAAACAGTAATAATTATTTTGTAATTTTTACTTTGTTAATATATATTATTTTGTCTATATAATATATTATATTGGCGACGAGCAAGTACTTGGATGTGATACGAGAAACGATCGTGCGCGAGTAGCGGAGAAATCTTGCATTTTTTACTGCAAATTTCATAGATTTCATAAATTCATATTGTAAATTGTCATATTTCATATTCGTTTGTTTATTTACACCTTCTGTCACTGAAGAAAATGGGATTTGGGAAATGCTGTGTTATAAATTGTAAAAATACAACAAAAAATTGTCAATTGAAGTTTTATTCTTTTCCAATTTCGAAGCACAAATTACTACAAAGAGAAAAGTGGATTTATATCATAAAAAAGCATAAGTAACATAACCTAAATTATGCATTATTCTTGCGCCCGATTTTAAAGTCAGTTTGAAATAAAAAATAAACAATAGTTCACTTTTAAGTGTAAATTTTAGTTTCATAACACTCACTTAGAGTTCATTTTAACCCGAAAATCAAGTTTATTGTTTAAATTTTATTTTTTTGAAGTTTAGAAAAATGCATCAAGTTCAAGTTTTTCTGAAGATGCATTAAGATATATTCGCTGTCCAAAAGTTTACAGGGAAAGAATTAATTATTCAAACCAATATAATGATATAATGGGCTTAATCTGCTAATTTTTGCATTAGCATTATTTATGGTAATTTATTTTTCTTAATTCTTCCACATAATTCTTCCATTCTTTTTTGACATTTGCCACTACTAAAGCTTTTCCATTTGACTCAGTGCTTGGTTGAAAAGTTATTTGGTGATTTACTTTCTCAAATCCAGTTTTTATTATTGCATACATATTAACAGTAATGCTGAAATTTAATAATATATTTATTTGTATTTACACTACCTACAACGTTTACCTTTTAATAACATACCGACATAACCTCAATCTTACTTTTTCTTCTTATTTTTTTTTGGGGCTACGTCCTTGACAGTTATTAGGTAACCTCGATCTAACATGAAAGCGCAGTAAATTTTGCTGATTTGCGACACCAGGTGTCGGTGTTCCGAACTTGCACGGTCCCAATAGACAAAATTTATGGTTGTCAGCAAAACGGAGTTACAACCAACGAACATCAGAGCGTATGGAATAGAGTTAGAAAGAGTCCACAATATTACCTACTTGGGTGCAAACGTTAACGATAACTGGGATATAAATAAAGAAATAGGAATACGCATTGAAAAAGCCAGAGCCGCCTTCTATAAATTAAAGAAAATTCTAATTAATAGAGATATTACGATAAATCTTAAAATCAGATTAATACGCTGCTGCATATTCTCCACATTGCTGTATGGTATGGAGAGCTGGACCCTTACAGAGACATTAATGAAAAAATTAGAGGCCTTTGAGATGTAGATTTATCGACGAGTATTGCGGATAAGTTGGGTTGATCGAATAAGAAATGAAATAGTTTTACATCGAATGAAAAAGAGCACAGAAATAACAATTATTATTATTATTATTCCATAATACGCTAATGTACATACTATGTTAATAAATACTATATCATACCTTTATTATAATTTAGTTATTGAAAGACGTCATGTGAAATACATAGTGGATACATCTTACAAATAAAAATATCTACCTACCATGTTAATAAATATAACTATGGTAATATATTTTTTTTACTACGTTAGGACCTAAACCCGATTCAACAATTCAGAGGTTTAGATCCTCTTAGTGATTGTTTTACTATATTTTTATTATTTTTTTCTTTTTTTTGTGTTCTTTTTTATTATTTTTTATTATATTCTTTATAATCCTCTTTTTTCTTTTTTTTTAATTTATTTTTTTCTTTTTAAATATTTGTAATTAGTTTTTTGTAAAAGACCATCGCAGACGTTTTTAAATCCCATTTGTATTTACTTATGTCTTAATGGTGCGATGTTTATAGTACTCCTTTGCATTGGCTTTTTAAATAAATGTTATAATGTTATGATATTATAAATGCATTACACTCATCTCTTAGTTGGCTAATTTAAACTGTTTTTCTCATTGGTGTTAGTTACTTATAACAATACTACTAACAGTATAACCAAATCTCTTACTGTAGTGTGTTTTTAAATTAATTTAAATTAAATTAAATTAATTTTTAAATTAATATTTTAGAATCTTTAAAAAACTGTTTATTAATAATTAAAATTTTTTAATTTTAATATTGAGGTTTGATGTATTAACCCACTACTATATCTCGGCAACCGATCAACTATAAAGAATTAGATATTCTGGCAGTGTACTTGCTTATTAAAATATTCGATACCAAACTTCCAGAAGCTATATGATACTCCTATGTCTGAATGCTCGACTTTCATGACATAAAATTACATACCGTAGTGTTTTTACTATCAAAGCCTTATATAAAATTTGATTTTACATTTCACATGCATAACTTTTAGACAGCTATAGCATACACTATAAAAAAGGAGTAAAATTAATGAATGTGTATATGAATTATTTTATAGCTATTTAGGTATAATTATGATTATGTTCTAATCCAGGCCTTATTAAATTTTGCTCTACTTAAGACATAGTTCTATTTAGCTCTGATCCAGAGCTCGGAAAAAGTAGAGGACCTGCATAGTAGTTTACTTTTTGAGGTACACTTTGTACAAGACTTATAAGCAACTTTCTATGAGTCTAAATTCCGCTTGAAGACCATTCCATAAATAGAGTTTTAATTCTTCAGAGTTTCTTGACTCTAACTCCTCTTAATATTAAAAATCTAATTATGTAATAAAACACCAATAAAGTTCTTGGAATATGTTGGAATTCTCAGTCTGACATGTTCTCTATCGCTCTTCCTGACATTTCTAGTGAACCAAAATAAACAAAAAAAAGTTTTATCAATTATCTTATCTATTTTTCATCCTCTTGGTCTAATAAATCCGATAACTGTATCTGTAAAGTTAAATTTGGATATGCAACTTAAATTGGGATGACAAACTTACAGAAGAAATTTCATCAGAATGGTTGAATTTTCTAGCTCACATTCCTGATCTCGCAAAGCTTACAATCTCTAGACCTCTGCTCAATCCACTCAATATTTCTCGAATTGAAATCCATGGTTTCTGCGATGCAAGTATGAAGGCATATGGTGCTTGTATTTATTTACGGGTTTTATATAAAAATAGAACCGTTTCGTGCAACTTAATCACTCCAAAGAGCCATGTAGCTCCGCTAAAAACCATTTCCCTACCTAGGCTTGAATTATTAGGGGATGTCTTGCTTTCTACCCTGATTTCAAATATCTTTATTATTATTTCACCAAAGGTTTCTTCCATAGCTTCGGTTAGGCTCTGGACAGACTCCCAAATTGTACTCGCGTAGATAAATTCTCACCCTTCTCGTTGGTCAATCTTCGTAGCAAAATGTATAACTCAAATACAGGAGTTAACGCGAACTTATTTATGGAATTACGTAGGGTCTAAAGATAACCCAGCAGATATTCTGTCTCGCGGTACCACACCTGCCCTGCTGGTAGACAATACATTATGGTGGCATGGGCCCCATTTTTTAATGAACACAACCACTACATTTAATGAATTTGTTCCAAACATTTATGTAACAGATGTCCCTGAAATAAAAGGCACTCTACACGCTGTAAATAATTCGAAACCTACTCTATATACAGCTTTTTGTAAATTCTCATCTTTCACTCAGTTACAAAGAGTAATTGCATATTGCAATAGGTATATTTACAACCGAAGCTAAGCAGAGAATAATGAAAATTATTCAACTAACATTCTTTTAATCAGATTGTATCTAATTGTATCCGAACGTCTGCGGTCCCTCCGGTGAGTACCGATCGCACATGGATAGAAATTATTTTCATTCATTAATTTTTAATAAACGAAAATTTCTTTACCCAGATGAGATTCGAACTCACGAGCTTTAGGTTTAAAGGTAGGCGCTCTTACCACTGAGCCACAGAGGGGGTTATTAATATAATTTAATTATTGTAAGAATTTCAAATTTAAGATAGGTTGTACTAAATTTATATTGTATATATTAGATATATATATATATATATATATATATATATATATATATATATATATATATATATATATGTATATATATATATATATATATATATATATATATATATGTATATATGTGTTTCATAATAGTTATAATAAACATAATTTAAAAAAGTACTTACAAACTAATTCTTTGAGAACCGCGATAAAAACCCTATACTTATATATGTTATTTTAAATTATTCAATATGTATATATACTTTAGTATTTGTGATATAAATAATGCAATTTAAAAAAACACCTTAAAAAGTTTCATCCATTGCATTTAATGCAAATAAACCAAAATTTTAATTGAACATGTTCTAATTAACGTTACGATTTTCATCTCTATAAATTGTGGATTATTTCCATTATCAATAAAAAATATATACGTACCTACTATGTCACAGTGTTGGATTATATGGATGGATATTCTGAAAATAAATAAAAAATACAGATACATTATTAAAGTCAAGATACGAACCTCAAGATTTAATAACATTAAGTTATTATGTAAATGTTAAATTAATATTGCTTCCTTTAAAGGAAAGAATGTTTTAGAAAAAATACCGCAATATGTGTTGGATACGAAGAGTAAAGAATAAACAGAGAAACAGAATAAAAATGAGAAAGAACTAAAACAAATATGATAGGATAGGGATGGTAACACTATATCGATAATATCGATATATTTTAAAATTGTATATAAATTTTTATATTGATATTCAACTCTCGATATATCGGCACACATATCGATATTTGAGATTTAAGTGTAAAAACATAGTGGAGCATCGCACCTCGCCAGTCACATTGCTACGCACCTCGCTGCGCACATCGCCACAAATTGCATACTCGCCATGGTAAAACATAGCGAGGCATTTCACCTTGCATGTAGTATAGACCTGAAACTGTTTAAGAGCGGTACTAAATATGTTATCCGAATCGGAAAGTGATAGCGATTCATCTAGTGTTGCTGTAAAGTGGTGGTTAACGTCCACTGGAGGAAGAAGTCGTAGGTGGAATATACATCCCGTACAGAGAGAGCGCACGAAACTGGGTGAATTTTATAAATTATATCAGCAACTTAAGCATTATCCAGATCGTTTTTATGATTATTTAAGAATGTCACAAATAACGTTTATCTACATTCTTCGACAAATAGAACCAAAAATTGAGAAAAACTACTGTAACTTTCATGTCCAGCCAATATCCGCCGAAGAAAGATTAGTAGTAACACTCAGGTAAGAAATTAAATATATTTTTATTCAAATTCATATACAAAAGTTTGTACTTCACTAGAATTATTGCCCTCAAAAGCGAGTGTCTGCTTCTGAATAGGAATTTGTGACGTATTTATAGATTGGGTAGATTCTGTAGGAAATGTAAATGATGCATTGGAATGTGAGCTGGGTTGTGGTACAACTAAAGGAGATGAGGATGCAGGTCGAAATGAAGATGTGGATGCTTGGCAATGATGAGTAGATGCAGGTCGAAATGACGATGTGGATGCTTGGGAATGATGAGTGGGTGCAGGTCGAAATGAAGATGTGGATGCTTGGGAATGAAGAGAGGATGCAGGTAGAAATGAAGATGTGGATTCTTGGGAATGATGAGTGGATGCAGTAATATGTGGATCGCAAGAAGGAAGGGGTTTTGTGCCATACAAACTGTCCCACAGTAACTGTTGCACCTTAATTCTAAATCCCAGTTTCTCCTGTGCTGGTAACTGTTTCACATGCGGAAGTAGTGAAGTAAAGAACGCTACATCTTCATCATTGCCTCTTTTTTCCATTGCCATTTGTTTCCCTTTTTTAATCTGCAACTTCTCCCTCTCTATAGTTAACAGGCCTTTACCTATTGTTTCCATGGGTAAAGTTCGTTTTCTATATCCTAGAAGCTCTTTAGTAGGGGTGGGTGTGCCTGTTGATTGTGTGGATAAAGAGGTTAGTGAAGTGTGTGAAGCCGGGGTATTCGGAGAAGATAGATTTTCATTAATGGACTCAAGGTCATCGTCTTCAGCTTCAATTTGACGATTTTGACTTTCAGACTCTTCGTTTACTTCAGTTCCATTATCCTCCAAATTGCCACTCAAGGGTCTTTGTGTAAAAATGTCTTTTAAAAATAATAAAGATTTAAAATACGGCCATTCCACTGTCTCTTCTGGTGCTGGATCTCCAGATCTGCATGCAGGCAGTCGGTCGTAATGACTTTTGAACTGCTGACGCAGTGCTTTCCAAGATTTTTTAGCTAATGGAACTGAAACAAATACATTACGTTTAGTCACGCTGACATTACTACCAAACATTAGTATTACTACAGATAAATTTTTTATTTCCATTTACAGATTCCTAGCGACAGGAAACTCTTACAAGAGCCTGGCTTTTTCTTTTCGCATGGGAGCATCTACCATAGCACGTATTGTCCCAGAAATTACCACCTTATTGTGGAACGTTTTGCAACCCCTTCATATGATTCCGCCCACAGAAGAAAAATTTCGAGAGATAGCCGAACAATTTTATAATAGATGGAAATTTCCCCACTGTCTTGGGTCAATTGATGGTAAACACATTCGACTAAAGTGTCCAACTCATTCAGGAACAATGTACTACAACTATAAGCAATATTTCTCCATTGTGCTGCAAGCCGTGAGTGATGCGAACTGTAAATTTATTTTTATTGAAGTAGGTGCATATGGTAAACAAAGTGATGGGGGAACATTTCGTAATTCTAATATGTACAAATTGATGAGCAGTGAAAAGTTGAATATTCCAACAGAAGAGTTGTTACCAAATAGTAATATTAAGGCACCTTATGTTTTTATTGGCGATGAAGCGTACCCTTTGTTAACCAATTTAATGAAGCCATTTGCCAGAAATAATTTAAATGAAGAAACTGAATTATTCAACAAAAGTCTATCTAGAGCGCGTAAAACAGTCGAATGCGCTTTTGGAATTTTAACAATGAAGTGGAGAATACTAACGAAAGCCATTGAAACACAACCCAACACTGCAGATGCAATTATTAAAGCAGTTTGTATTCTACATAATACAATAATGGACCAAGAACATGTCACTCACGCTACGACAGATAATAAAAGCTTCGACTGTGTGTTGCCCAATATTTCAGCATGTAGGAGAAATAATCCTTCAACAGCAGAGGCTACTTCGGTGAGAAATGCATTTAAACAATATTTTATTAGTAACAAAACTCTTCCGTAATTGTAATATTCAATTAAATGTATCAATAAAAATGGCATCTTGAACATATCTTAGTACGATTACATACCTATCTAATTAGAATATAAATAATAACACAGGATGAAACAAACAAATTGATTGCTTACCTGAAACACCGCAGTTATTAGCTACTGTTTTCCAATCCTTGTCTAGCACGTAGCGGTTATGATGTTCCTTGTGTCGCTGATCCCATATTGGGGGCTTTTTAAATATTTCATTAATTAATTGCTCTTTATCCATCGTGCATGAATCAAACGTTTTCTAACTGCAAATGATCCCAACCGTTTTCTAACCGCTGGCAGATAGAGAGCAAAAGATATACGACGGTAAGTTAACCTTGAAACAGCCAATCAGGTAGTGACTTTCATGCTACTGTATCCAGAAAAACAAATTATTTTGCTCTTCAAAACGTAGCGAGATGCGTAGCGATGTTCCCGGCGAGGTGCGATGCTCCGTGATGCACACTGCTATGTAAATCTATTAAATTGTTTCTTAATCGGCAATGTGCGTACTGCGTAGCAATGTGACTGGCGAGGTGCGATGCTCCACTATGTTTTTACACTAATGTATGTGCTGCTATGCAATCCTGGCCCGCTTTAAGATTAGTCGTCATTCTGTTCGGTTTCTGACAACGTGTTACCATCTTCTGATCTCTACTCTAGTATCTCTAAGTCGGTCTCAACTGAATCTAACCACCTAAATTGCGGTGGACCTCTGCTTTTTCTAGGTGTTCCTGTCATTAGCTTTTTAGCAATCATGTTTTCAGGCATTTATGTGTCAGGTCCATCTAAGGGCTCTTGTTAACGAACGTTTTTTTCAACCGGTAACGTGCCGTTGCTAAACGGGTACCCTTGTTAACGATTCATAATTTTCAAGGGATATGCGTCCGTTGACGGTATGGAATCTCCGAAATATCGTCAGTTTTAAAGTAACAAGTGCACGCAATACATGTTATATCATGTTGACGTCAAAGAAAAAAATTATACTAGCCTATTATTTATATAAAAAATGCAGAAGCAACGGGAGAACCGTAAAAGAAAAATATGGATACATCCTATTTTATTAGAAAGAGAAAAGTATGGTGCTTTTCATACACTTTACGAAGAATTGAAAAAATACGAAACAAAATTCTTTAATTACTTCCGAATAGGTCAAGAAACTTTCCGCAAATTGTTAGGAATAGTACATGATAAATTAAAATGTGATGACACTAATATGAGGCTATTCCTTGTACCTGCTGATCGACTAGCTGTTACCTATGTATGAATTATGCTATTAGTATAACAGAATAAAAACTTTCGGTTATAAAAAACTAAAAAAAAAATTACAAACTTAATAGATTTTTTATCATTTAAGAATATACAATCTATATATAAAATCATTTAAGAATATACAATCTATATATAAAATAAAAATTATTGGTGAAATAACTTATTAAAATCTCCATATCAAAATCCATATTTTAGCGGCAACAAAGAAAGAAATTTATTGAAACAACGGATGCTCGCCCAACGCCGTTAACCATCATCATCATCTTTGGCTCGACAATCCTCTGTGGATCTTGGCCTGCTCTAAGATTCGTCGCCATTCTGTTCGGTTTTTGGCAACATGTTGCCATCTTCTGATTTTTAATATTCGTAAGTCGGTTTCTACTCCATCTAACCACCTAATTCGCGGTCGGCCTTTGCTTCTTTTTCCTACAGGTGTTCCTGTGGTTAGCTTTTTAGCAATGGTATTTTCTGGTATTCGTATTATGTGTCCAGTCCATCTAACTCGCTGTGTTTTAATGAACGTTATGACATCTGGCTCATCAAAGAGCTGATACAATTCAAAATTATATCTTCTGCGCCACTGCCCTTGGTCGTTTACAGCTCCAAATATTTTGCGGAGTATTTTACGCTCAAATATTCCCAAAAGTATTTCATCTTTCTGCGTTAATGTCCATGTTTCTGCTCTATATGTGAGGACCGGCCTTAGCAATGTTTTCTATATAATAATTTTAGTTCTTCTTTGAATGTTTCTTGAGTGGAAATGCTTTTGGAGTCCATAGTATGCCCTATTTGTAAGATTTATTCGTCTTTTGATTTCTTCGCTTGTTTTATTGGTAGCAGTCAATAGCGACCCAAGGTATGTGAAGTTGTCAACACGTTCAAAGGTATGACTTCCAAAGACTGTTTCTCGTTCCTCACTTGCTATCG